TTTATATGCTACATTGTTACCAAGCTTGACTTAAGCAATGCATATCTACAGCTTCCTCTGGATGAAGTAACCAAGAAATATACCACAATAAATACACTCCGTGGTCTCTTCCAGTATAACCGCCTCCCATTTGGTGTTTCTTTATCACCGTCGATATGGCAGAAATGTATGGACAGTCTATTGCAAGGTATACCACATGTCAGAATCTGAACATTCGCAGAATGTAGAGACAGTTCTGTGCAAGTTATCAGAAGTGGGGATTCAAGCAAGAAAAGAAAAAATGTATTTTCAATGCAAAAGAAGTAGAATACCTAGGATACAAAATTGATGTTGAAGGGTTACATCCTGTTGAAAGTAAGGATAATGGAAGCACCCATTCCACGTAATGTCACAGAATTACAGTTCTATTTGGGTTTTCTCAATTTCTATGGTCGTTTTGTGGGTAATCTATCTACCGTGTTAGCCCACTACACCTGTTACTAAACAAGAACACAAAATGAATCTGGGGTAAAAAACAGGATGATGCTTTCAGGAAATCCAAAGAGTTTACTTTCAATACTTCAAGGTTGTCGGTTCATTATGATCCAAGCAAGGATTTGTTACTTGCATGTGATGCATCTCCTTATGGTATTGGAGCCATACTCTCTCACAGGCTCAGAGAAATCAATCGCATTTGTTTCGCGTACATTGGCACCAGCAGAAAAAATCTATTCACAGCTCGAAAAGGAGGGACTTGCAGTTGTATTTGGGGTTAAGAAATTTCATAATTATCTCTTTGGTAGGCACTTTAAAATATTGAGTGACCATAAACCCTTACTATCATTATTTAATGAAGCTAAAGGTGTACCAATTATGACCTCACCACGAATACAACGATGGAGTTTAACATTGTCTGCATATGACTACACATTCGTGTATAGACCCGGAAAACTGATGGGTAATGCAGATACACTAAGTAGGTTTCCGCTACCCGAAAGTCCTCTAAAAATTCCTATGCCAACAGATACTGTATTATTAATGGAGTTCTTAGATGTTTCACCAGTGACTGCAAGTGATATTAAGAAATGGGCAGACAGTGATCCAGTCCTATCACGTATTCAATGATTTATTCATCATGGATGGCCAGCGAGTATAAGGGCGAATGAATCAGAAATAAAGCCATATTTTGTCCGCGAAACAGAATTGAGTGTGTCATTCTTTGGGGAAGTAGAGTGATTGTGCCAGCACAGGGCCAATTACGCATTCTGAGATTACTACATGAGTCTCATCCTGGAATTGTCCGAATGAAGGCCTTCTCACGAAATTCTGTTTGGTGGCCATATCTGGACAAGGATATTGAAGCTACTGTGCAGAGTTGTAATGCATGCCAGATCAATGCTAAACTACCACCCACAACGCCCATGCATCCATGGGAATATCCTAAAGGACCTTGGGATCGTGTTCACATTGACTTCGCAGGACCTTTCCTGAACCGAATGTTTCTCATTGTGACTGACGCTTATTCCAAGTGGATGGAGGTAATTCCAATGGTTAGTACAACATCAGAAGCTACAATAAATGAACTGAGAGGACTGTTCTCATCACAGGGATTACCAACTACACTGGTATCAGACAACGGTTCCCAATTCACAAGCAGAGAATTTCAAGCATTTATGAATGCAAATGGTATTATCCATTTAACGTGGAGACCACCATATCATCCTCGATCAAATGGCCTGGCAGAACGATCGGTTCAGATGTTCAAGGAAGGAATGAAAAAGCTTTGTAGTGGGAGTGTGGAAACAAAGTTATCAAGATTTCAGTTCAAATATAGAGTGACGCCACACTCTACGACAGGTAAAACGCCTGCAGAGCTACTTATGGGACGAAAATTAAGGACACATTTGGACTTACTACAACCGAATGAGCGATCAACTGTACTTCGTGCTCAAGCAAAGCAAAAATCTGGGCATGACACACATACAGTCCAGAGAGTTTGAAGTTGGAATGACTGTGTTTGTCTACAACTTAGGCCAGGTCCACGTTGGTTAAATGGTAGAGTAGTAGAGAAGAATGCTTCTTCTTATATAGTTAGATTAGAAGATGGTCGTGAGGTGAGACGCCACACTAATCATGTTAGATTATCTAAAGTAGGGTTTAGTGCAGGTTGCGACATGTATAGTTCCCTTTCTACACATGATGATGACAGAGAGATGCATGTTCCAGCAGTTTTACCATCTAGTTTAGGGGGAAATTTAGTAAGTTAACAGATTCCGATCGAACCACTTGCTTCTTCTAGTAAACCGTTGTTACCTGTACCTGCTACACCCAAACCAA